GTTAATATATATATTGTCTTGACATCAGCATTACAACCACATTTAAAAATGAATCAACATAATGTTCATCTACTTAATCTTTCAAATGAAATATTATTCATCATTTTGAAAAACTTGAGAATGCTCATGTTCTTTATTCTTTAATGGGTATCAACAATCAACGACTTGAAATTATAGCACAAGAACAAATCTTCACTAACATCCTTAATTTTACTTCCGCATCACGATCAACTGATGAGATTTGTTCAATTTCTTCAACAATACTTAATCAATTTTGTATCGATATATTACCTAGAATTCATAAAAATGTTAAATCGCTCATTGTTGAATCTTTTTCTATGGAATGTATTTTTGGCGCTAGTATCTATTCTAATCTTACTCAACTCAAAATTTTTAATTTCAACAAAGGAATGGTTTCAGCTTATTTCATTGATAAGATATTCATCTATACTGATCTTTTAAAAGATTAGCATAGAAAAATATTTAGATCTTCAGATTAAATGATATATGTTTTGTTTAGATGATTCTCACTTTGAACATATTTATAAACAACAAATTACAGATCTTATTCTTGTCAGTAATGATAAAAATATTGAAATATCGCAAGAAGAGTATACCAAGGATGTGTATGCAATTATTTTTACTTTCTTTGAAAATCTAAAGTATTTGAGTATTGTTTCAGCATCTACTGATGACTATCCACCTTTGTCGTTATATATTTCATCACTGACTTTTTCCTCTTCGACACTTACCAAATTATCTATCAATTTTGATGATTTTGATGTTTGTCTTGCTTTACTTGATGGTCGTTTCAAACAATTAACTACATTCATCGTTCAAATTAATCTTATCTACCATCGGATATTAGGATCTTACAACATGGTGAGTATCATACTTTCTATTGTTATTAGTAATATCGAATTCTAAAATCTAATTAGAAATACAATAAACATAATGAGATTTGTGGATTAATAAATATGTTATTTTAATTTTGATTATTAGAACATATGTAGAATAGATTGTTATGCTTATGTTGATCATGTTCGAGATTATTTCATAAAATAATCAACATTCATTTAAAAGTGGTTAATCAATCTTTGTAGGTATTAAATGGCTCGATAGAAATTATTTTTTATGAATTATGTTAAACTTATACACCTATAGTAAAAGAAATTGAACAGAGTTATTTCTAAAATAAACACTTTCATAAATCTACTATTCAGTTAAACTTCATTTAATTTTACTGTTAAAAATCAGCATAGTTACTTAAAAGAATGATTAGTTTTTCTTTACAAATAATTTTTCCTTGTAAGATCTATATAGGGTGTCCAGAAAGTCACTAGAGTTAGAAAAAATTGCATATCTCTCTGCTACGGCTTGAGCAAACAGG